GGGGGATTGGAGTCTGGACCTCCTTAGCTAAAGTATTGCCTCCCCTGCCAAGAATACCTACGCACGCTTATGTTTATATATATATATATACCTATATTGTTTGAATGTATGAGTGGTCTAATTGTTTTAAGGATAATTTTCTCAAAAATTTTGGTAAAACTGGAAGTAGATTTATAGGTCTACAGGATGACGGTAAGGATTTGGGTTTATCAGGTTTATGTACAAGTAATTATAGTATTACCATTGATTATAATTGTATTTATAATCAATGGTAATACTGTAGAACATTTCCAGATTTGAGGGAAGCGAGAGCCTTAACATGTAAATAAATGTGGGAAGTAATAAAGTCTTTTAATATTTTGTTTGTAATTAATTCATATCCAGGTGATTTCCCTGGTTTTAGTTTGCTAATTATGTGTTTAATTTAATTTGGGGTCTTGTGTTTTGCTTCTTAAGAAGATTAGGAGTGTAATATTAATTAATAATTATTATACTGAGTCTAGTGAGTTTAAATAAAAAAATTTTTAATATAATATTTTATTGGCATGAAGTTAGTAACGGTAATTATATTCACAAATTACAACAATAGATATTATATTAAGTAACCATTAGTTTCTTCGGAACTATAAAGGTAGGTTTACACGAGACGTGAGCCACGATCGTAGTCTTTATATAGAAGCGTGAGCCACGGCCCACGGTTTGTGTAAACAGACAATTCGTACTTCACGATCGTGGTATTATCGTCCACGAACCTGTCACGACTGGATCGTGCAACATCAAACCATGTTATTAGATATTTCAGTCGTGAAACCACGCTCGTGAGCCACAACTACACGATCGTGAAATACGCTCGTGGCTCACGTCTCGTGTAAACCTACCTTATATTGTTCCATGATATTATCAACGATTCTTATCACTGACTGCCCATAACGAATTGTTAATTTAAGTATTTGATAAAACTACACGTGATACGTGAAGTCATGAAGTGTGAATTGTGAATAACAAATAAAACTAGGTATTATAAATTAAATTTATAACAACGTAACAACCGACTTGATTTGCAATTTGCACCCTACATCTCGTGTTTGCCGATTGCTTATGTTTTATTTTTATTTTTTTTAATGATTGAAATTATACATTATTTTTAACGGTGATATTAGTTTTACATTCTATCAATTATGGATTCACAATCATCTGGAGGATCTTTTAAGCGTAAAAAAAAACGGATKTCGACTTACCAACGAGCCATGAAATTCTCCAAACGTGGAAAATTCGGACACGGTTTCCAGATTCAAGATGAAGACTTTCAATATTTCCTTAATATTCTAAAAGTATCAAAAGAAACGTTTGAAAGCGATGACGATAAAAGTAATTGTTGTTAGCTTCTTGCTACTATACAATAGTTACTTCAAGAAAATATTTAACACTATAAGTACAGTTAAAATATCAAATTTAATGTCACAAACATATTTTTAGGTATTTTTGTGGATAATGTATTCAAACAATTGCATGGCAATGAAGTGAATTATTGTAGTAATCAGGTAGTGTCTCGTGTAGTAGATGACCTACTACCTGCGGCTAGTGATCAGACTGTATTAAATTTGATAAAACACTTTGAAAGCGATTTGCGTCCTATATGTTGTGATCAGTTTGCTAGCCATGTACTACAGCAACTATTACATGTTGCAATTTATAGAGCATATAAGGTATTTTTATAGTTATATAGCAATACATTTAGTATATAATTTTTATATAATTATTTTTTTAGATTCTGAGCGGAGCGATGAATATATTGATTTTACCATGTTGCAATTTATAGAGCATATAAGGTATTTTTATAGTTATATAGCAATACATTTAGTATATAATTTTTATATATTTGTACTGTTATTTTTTAAAGGTTACCAAAGACATATCAGAAACTACCAGAGAAAATTATTTCAATTTTATAATCAAACTTTGCAAATTTATAATGAATAATTTGGAGGAATTCATATGGGATACATATGCTAATCATATAGTGCGAAGTTGCATTGCTTGTTTGTGTGGTCAACCATATTTGTGTTCAAAGAATTCACAGCAAAAAGGCGAAAATATAGACACAAATAAAGATCATAAAGATTTGCTAAAAAAATATGCTGACTGTATCATAAATATTCAGCAGTTCTCTGGTAAAATATAACTACAACTTAAAACTAAACAAGTATGGTTCTCATTAAATGATTTTCCAGAAATGCCTACAAATGATATCACTTCCGGACTCTTACAAGTATTACTTAAATCAATTGCACCTGTATCTAAAAAAAGATTTAAAGCCTTAGTTGAAAAAATAATGAGTGGATGTTTTCCAATAAATGAAAGTAACTCTTTTGATGTTTCTCAGATTCTTGAAAACAATTCATTTTCTAGGTACTGATAAATTTATTTTCAAACATTTTGTTAGTTACTAATTGGACAAATTAAATTACAAATTTCCATTTCAGACTCCTTGATGTTATAATTTCTGAATCGCCAGAAAAATTGAATCAATTATTATATGAWAAATATTTCAATGATAAGCTTGCTGATTTAACTATTCATCACAATGGGAACTTCACCATACAAAAGATATTATCAACAACTGCAGATACTACTAAAGTAATAAATAATATAGTTGATGAAAGAATTTAATGGATTGATTATCTACTACTCTCTCTTTGTACACCTTAACTTTCCACAAAAGAACTATAACATAATTGTTTTAGCTTCTTCACTTGTATCAAATGATCAAAATTTAAAATAAATGATTTATATTTTTAGTTTGAAACAATTTTTGATCAATTAAAGGAAAATATACCTCAAATTATCAATCTTGGTTATACTGGAGTGTTATTAGAATTGTCTAATGCTTGTTTACGTTTGAAGTGTAAACAAGCTTTATTCTTTAAAGTATATATAATAAGTAAATAAATCAAACTTCACTRGTCCAATTATATTTATACCATACTTAATTTTTAATAGACATTATGTGAATCATTAAAATGTAAAGAAGAAACTGAAGATGGAGTTACTGTTTTATTACTTCTTGGGTTAAAAGTTGCTGACAATTTTGATAACTCGTCTAAAGAACCATCAATTCATATTCATGGATCCATGATAGTACAAAATATATTGAAGTTTAATAAACCAATCAAAGTAAGATATTCCAGGGGTTGTGTGATTGAAAATAACTTAATTATTTATTTTGCAGATGGTAAATAACTTGAACAATTTAGATACTGAACGTCTTGTTTACTTACTTTGTGATGTGAAAGGCAGTTATATTGGAAATGCATATTTTGAAAGTGCATTTATTGGAGAAAGAAGTCGTGAAAAAATGATATGGAAATTAAAAGTAATTAAATATTTGTTATAAATACTAAGTATTTTTTTTAACATTATTTTTAATTAGGACTATTATACAACACTAGCAAAATCTAAAAGTGGTTCTCGTGCTTTTGATTGCATATGGAAAGTAGCAGAYACAAAACAACGTACTATGATAATGACAGAGTTTTTAAAACATGAATCTGAACTTATTAGCACACAATTTGGTTCTATAATTGCATCCAAATTAAATTTAGGCCTGTTCAGGCATAAAAGAGATGAATGGATGAAAGCTGATCAAGATAAACTTCAGACTATGAAAGTTTTTGAAGTCAATAAATATTGTTGAAGCTTTTGTACAATTAGTAGTTCTTTTATTTTATGAAGTTAAAAAAATAAACGTTTTTTTAAATTAAACATAAATATTCCAATTACTGCCATCTTCTGGCAAAAGTTGATTTGTGACTAACAATATGACATCCAATATCCACCAGACTCCACCACCTCCAAGTGTCAACAGTTTTCCAACAGCTGTTCCAGTTTGTCCCAGACAAAATCTGTCCATACCAAGGAATCCCAGTAAAATTGAATATAACAGAGTTGTTAGGAAATAATAGCCACCATATCTGTAATAACAATAATAATGATAATGGTGTAAGGCCTTATACAATATATTTTATTAAAAAGAACCGCATAATGTGGTGCCTCCGTCAAATAAACGTACAGCATATTAAATTTTACACTCAGGTTTTTTACCATTGAACTCTGTTCTAACCCTAAAGTGAATATTAWCTGTACTTAAGCGTTGGTCTTTCTCTTTTTAGTATTTAAATTTTTAAGCTAGATAAGAATATTACTAACTTGTGATATTTGAAATACTATTACTCATAATATGTTGTTTAAAAATAATGAAAAAACCCAACAGCTAAGTACAGWTTATGTCYTTTAACTTTGATAATAGAAAGGTCAATTCACTATAATATTAATATTAACATATGATCAATTCTAATAAATGCRCATTTGATGTGCAATATGTTTGAAAGACAGTGACACACCTTATGTGTCCTCTTAGTAGTAAATCAAATACAAATATAATATTCATTTATACTTCACACATGGAAATCCTTTCTTGTTGAATTTTCTGTTACCATGACATTCTATACCAGGTAAAACCATGCATTGAACTGTTGTTTTTTCTACGTCTTCATATCTGTAACTACCTCCGTACTAAAATGTAAAATCACAATACAGAATAGATAGATTAAGTCAATAAGTCTACAATATTGTACCTTGGAACATCCCCCCGTAATGGTATCATCTCTTGTCTTGTTTCCTTTTAAGTCAACTAGGTCTTCACATTCAATGAACTCCATTGGCCTAAATATTATTATTAAAAATTGTTGTAAATTTTATTTTTTATTTATTTGACATATTGTAGGGTTTAATACATATCAATGATTATATGAAAAATTACTTACAAGAAAGAGCACATGACCAGCGGCCCAGAAGGAACATAGTTCAGTTCTGGGTCGTTTTCCAACAAAGAATCGTTTTTTAACTCTCCGCCGTCGTTTCTTGACATATTAGCATTCGTTGCCGCATGACAAYAAACGCTTGATACCAAAATATATCCAAATAATGACCTAAAATATTTGTCAGTCATTGTCCGTGATCATGACGTATAACACTACAACGTATTAGCAAAAATC